ACATTTATTCAGCAATAAAGGCTTATGCCAAGCATCATCATCACAACAGCCCGCTGTAGTGGTTATGATGCCAAGAGTACCCTGGCCTGGTTGCCTGGTAATGGGGCAAACTATTTCTTACCTGTGTCTGGCCGGACTCCTGGTCTGCTCTGAAACAGAATTTACGACATCTGGTTTCTGCAGATCTCCCCCTTAGCCAAAGGTAACACAAGGGAGGATGGAATAAATATTTGTCTTTTTTTTAATTATTATTATTGTTTGGATTTTTTTTTTTCTTCATGTTTTTCCCCTTGTACAGTCTGGACGCCTATGCCCCCTCACATACACACAACAGCTCCATCAATATGAAATAAAGCCCACAATATACACAGTCACACACACTTACAAAACACTCCCAATCCAAGCACATTGTAGACCCATACTCATACTACAGCCTATATTAATATACACACACATTGCATATTTATTTTATGTATTTATTTATTTATTTATAAAATATTTTACCAGGAAAGATACATTGAGATTTCTCTCATTTTCAAGCATGTCCTGGTTCCACAAAACCTTGCATTGATACAAAAGAGTACAATAAAATACAAAAACAATATTAATACACAACATATACAAAATGTAACAGACATAGACATGTAGGAAATCTAGAATTAACCATAACACGTGCATTTTGTTTTGAGGTATGTAGAAAGGGATCTCTTAAAGGACTTTAGGCTTTGGAAAGATTTGAAAGTGTGCAGGAGGTCGTTCCACAATTGCGGCGCTCTGTAGGAGGAGGATCTGGCTGCTTTCTTTTTGTATTGAGGTAGACTAAATATAAATAAAGTGCTGGTACTGGATCTGAGGTTAAAGGAGGTGGAAACAGCTGAGGAGAGCATTAAGCTCAGGTAGGGGGGGAGCTTCCCAGAAAAGCTCTTAAGCACAAGGCTGGAAAGTTGAAGGGTGCGCCTGGATTCCAGCGAAAGCCAGTTTAGTTATTTTAGCATGTGACAATGGTGGGTCATATAATTACATTGTAGCACAAATCGGCAGAAAGAGTTATACAATGTATTGAGTTTATTAATATGGGATTGCGATACAGATGCATATACTACATCCCCATAATCAATCATTGACATCAGCATTTTCTGTACAATCTTTTCCTTTACTGTAAGGCTTAGGCAGGATTTGTTTCTGTACAGGGCACTTCGTTTTGTATAAAGTTCAGACGCAAGTTTTTCTTTGTGGAGGCCAAAAGATAGATTGGGGTCTAACAACATACCCAGGTATTTGAAAGAGTAGACTGCGGTCAGTGTGCCATTTGAATTTGTTTTGATGGATAGGTGGGAATTGTGTAATTTGTGTAATTTAGGTATTGTTCCAAAGATCATTGTGACAGTTTTGTCAGTGTTTAGGAAGAGTTTATTTGCGATCCACTTTTCTACATCTATAAACTGGTCTTGGAGCACAGATTTGGATTTGCTTGCATAGATTACTGTGTCATCTGCCTACATGTGTACATTTGAGGATTTGCAGACATTAGGCAGATCATTTATAAATAATGTAAATAGTAGGGGGCCAAGAATGGAACCTTGGGGAAAACTACACTTGAATGGGAGAGGGAATGAGTTGCTGTCAGAAATGGACACACATTGCGAGCAATCCGATACATACAATCGCCAATACCGGAGTTTTTGAGTTTGTGCAGTATAATGTCATGGTCTGATGTGTCAAAAGCCTTTGCAAAATCAAGGAAAATAGCTCCAGTTAGGTCTCCTTGTTCCATGCCAGTTTGGATGTCATTGCAAACTTTTAAGAGGGCAGTTGTAGTGGAGTGATTCTGGTGAAAACCCGATTGATCAGGGGTGCATATACATACACATTATACATCTCTAAGCACACTACAACCCATAGATGCACACACACATTACACCCTATATACAAACACATACACTACACCTCCTAGACACACAAACACTCACTATAGTCCCTAAACACAAACTAGCATGTACACACAAACTACAGCTCCAACTACCCACACAACAGACCCTATAGACAAGAATGCACACTGCACCCTATAGAAACACTATACCCCATAGATAAATACACACACATGCTTTCTCTCTCTCTACAAACGTTAGACACAGACGCGCACACAATCTCTACAGCCCCTAGACGCACACACTTTACACCCAGTGGAAATACATACACACTACAGTCCCTAGCCACAAATATTACACCACAGACTCCTTTATACATACTACACCACAAACAGTCACTTCTACGCACACACAATCCTACAATTAGCCTCCAACTGCATTCAACACCACAGAGAGCTTCCCCACACATACACAGAATGCTTTATTGGCCATGCCCCACTTTTGTCCTCTGGTATCCCTCTTTTAGGGACACCAGAGACAAGCCAGTAGCAAACGCAAAGCTGTGCTGTGCAATATAAACACAGGGCATTGTTCTCATGTTTGAGCTTTTCAGCAAACTAACATACTCACTTTGAGGTGGCGTGTGTCATTGCTGAAGACATGCCCCCTTTTTTTCCCCGCCCCCACCTACTGGGCTGCTCTACCTTTTAAATGCCCGGGCTGATTTTTTTTTTTCCCCAGTCCGGTAATGGCCAGATTAGTATAAGAATTGCTCCCAGAATTTAGCTGTTGAAATCTGTGGCATGTAAATTACTATTAGAATAATGATTGTTAAGCCACAGTTGTACTAAAAAAATCTACAGACATTTCCTTCAGAATGAATAGCCTTAGGAGGTGACCTCAGCAGATAATAGTTTCTAGAACTAGATTTTAACAGTTGCACATTTTTACATGATCACATAACACGTCCTGTATAGTATAAATAAGGGTATTTCAGTTAGATGTGAATTTGGGGTGAAGTTGCAAGGGGATTCAACATATAGGCCAAGCTAGCAAAACTTATAAAAAAAAAAAAAATCTCCAATTCCGCACTTTTACCGTATTTTAGACACTCTGAGCCTGAGCCATTGGCCATTACAGCTAAACCTAAATAGTTATGTAATAAAAGAAAAAAGCCTTTGATTCTTACATTATTGGATACCGTAATAACTCCTGTGATTTTTCTTCTCAGTATAACAGAACACTGTATCCCACCAGTAACCTCTTTATGCCAGAAATTATAGGTCCAAGTTACGTTACCAAATTGGGCCTTTATAAATAAGATATAATAATTTCTTTGACAAATCTTAGAATGGATTTTGCTAAATTTTAACTATCTGGAAAGACATACTTATATAGATTGTGAATCCTGATTCCTATTTATATTACCTTTAACAACAAAGTGTCAATCTAAATGCATATAAAGCAGGGCTGAGAAAAGCAGAAACTAGCGTTCAATGTATTTGTATTTGTACACTGTAGCTAGGTTTATATTCACATGAATGACTGCCTTGTATATGTACTCGCAAATGTGAATGATACCCCTGTAGATGATGCAAACATTTTATTTTAGCTAATAGATTTTTGTCAACATAAATAAAATTGTTAACATGTCAATCTGTGAACATGTTGATTTAAACTCAAGAAATGCTAGATATTGTTAATGTAATTAAGTTCTCAACCTGCCCTAAAAAATATGTAGGTCCACTTTGTGGAGATTACTGAAAGTGACAATAGAAATCACATAACGTTGTGCAATAATACCATTTTGTAGATCTGTGGGATTTGAAGAATACAAACTACAACACTGCCACCTAGGGAAGGAGACATGCATGTTTGATTAATATGTGCACTGTGTAAGCAAAGAGTTTTGTGAGCCATATAATTCTGAGCTATAAAGTGGTTATAGCGGTACAGCACCATTTATGATGTGTTTGAGACCTCTTCGTCAAACAATACATTGAACAGTGTGGTATTTAATGATTTTAGATTGTATGTTCCCAAGAGTATAGAGTATCTGCAACTCATCCTGTTGTTATTTGTCAAATGTCGTATTGTCTCTTAGATGTATTGTACTTTTTGTCTTTTTTACTCATTTCATTTATACCCATGAATACCTCCCAACCTGGAGATAATCAGTACCAGGGTGGGACCATGATGTAAGCCTAGTTATTAGCAGAGGTGTGCCCTTCCAAAAAAGGTACAGGCTCACCCACTTTACAATCTGCCTCACCGCCTCTCAGAAGCACTCCCTGTATGTTCCTAGTGTCCATTGTACAGAATGAGCACGTCTAATGATGGGCTTGAGATGTTTTGTCCCGGGACACAGATATGGGACACAAGGAAACTTAAGTGGGATGGCAGCCCAAAATTGGGACTGTATCACTGAAAGTGGGACAGTTGGGGGGCATATCCATGCACAACCCTACAGAATGTGTTGGGCCTTTATAAATAAGATATAATAATTTCTTTGACAAATCTTAGTATGGATTTTGTTTCGAGAATTGTTGTTTGTGGTTGTACACCTTTTTTCTTTTTAACTATTGAACTGAATATAATTATTGAAATGTCTCCTAACTTAAGATATCTCAGAAATACATAAAGCTGCTGACTTGATATAACTTTTTTTTCAAATGTTTTTATTTTGAAAAATATTATGTTAATTAATAAACGGAAATGGTAATGATCTATGTAAGATAATATAATAGGTAATGGTCGCAAAAAGAAATGTTTATACATAACTAGAATACAGTGGCTGAGATAATGAACTAGAAGTTAATTTAAAAGTGTTAATGTCATAGTGACCAATAGAAAACTTATAATACTGATAGAATAATAATAAACTCAGGGATAAAGCAAAAAGGGGGGAGGGTAGAAAAAGAGGAGGGGGCAATATTGTGTCCGCAATGCAGCCCAACAACCATCAACAATAAAAAAGAAAACAAAAGGGGAAAAAATAGGTATTTACAAGAAAATAAAGTTAACTTATTTGTTTTTCTATTTGCAATTTTGTACATCAATCTATTTATAATCTAATTTTGCAAAAACAACTTTGTGATATTTGTAGTAACATTGTTTTTTTTAATGTCCAACAGGGTTATTATGCTGATTTACTTGGATTAAAACATTTCATGGAAGTTATGATGTTTCTAACATTCATGGAGAATGTAGAGCCAATATCTGACGAGAACATGACCATCACTGACACCACGTTTAATAACATTCCAGTTCGGTTATACATTCCAACAAAGTCATCGGACAAACTAAAGAGAGGGGTTATCTATATTCATGGTGGGGGCTGGTGCGTTGGCAGTGCAGGTAGGAAGATAAACTTGTTTTAATGTTTGCATCCTGATGATTTTTTATTTTATTTATTTAAGGTAAAGGCACATTTTATGTTGCCTTATCTCTCTTATCAACAATCGTACAATACAATAATTGACAAAAGAAAAGGTGGTGGTGGTTGTTTTTATTTATTTTTTTAATAATGGTACAGTAATGACTGCATAGTTCTTTATACCGTCTAAAGTTTATCTATATTACATTCTTACTGTCTTTGGCAATCCCATGTCACTTTTGTTTGTATTTTTATCTTGTATCTTTTTTTTATTGGTATGCGTATGTAAACTGAGGCAAATGTATGTGCATGTATTTGCATGTTTGAGTAAAAATCCGTAGAAATACTGACCATGGTAAGCGAAACATGCATGATGTGCAGTGGGAAATAAAGTAACCTAATCGGTAAAAATAAAAGTTAAGGGAACACACCAGACCCCTAAAGCATGTCCCCTTATATGTTGTTATTATTTCTATTTATATCTTTAAATATTCCAGTGGAATGTCCCTTTGACAACCAATGACAACCAAGTTAATAAACATACTACAATTACCCCTAAAGTAATACCTGACAAATATTGATATGCTTTCTGGGTAACGCTTCGGGTAAGTGTCAAGTTGAAGTCGGAGTTCATATCATCAGGCCTCCATTCCCAAAACCTCCATGTTCAAATGTACCTAGTTGGGAATTATATCTTCACTATAGAGGAGAATATAAGGGGTAAGATTCTTATAACTTACTCATAATTATATGCCCTAATAAAAGAAGTAATTTAAATTCCTTGCAAACAATTGGAAGGATTTAATCATGTCTCTTACTCTAATTCTAGGTATCTCTAGGTACTTTTTAGTTATGCAAAATGTATACATAGTGGATCCGTATTCCAGGAGAGAGAATAACTTGCTTTGCAAACATTGTAACTATGTTATGTGAGTTAATACGTGTGATGGCATTTTTCGAGGCGTCATATATTTCAAACTACTAATTTGAGGAAGGATGTAAGCCGTTACAACATTGTCTGCCCAACAATAAGATCACTATCGTTTTCCACTTCTCATTTTCTTCTTATAAGATCTTGACTTATAATTGATTTGACATACACATTTAAAGGGTAACTCCAACCAAAACCTACGCATGCTGACAAGACACCTTTTTTATGCAGAGAATTGACTCGGCAGCTCGGAACTACGGTATATAGAACCTGTTGAAAAAGCCTAAAATACATTTTTGCTTTAAAGGCCATTAAATGTATAATTTGACCACTGCTGATCATAGTTTACATTTTAAAAATGTACCTCTGACAAAAATCTGGTTTGCTTATATTGGAACCCATATGGTTTATTACATCTGCAAGGATACTCACTGTATTTGATATCCATACTTCTGACAAAGGCCTCAATCTAATTAGAACTGATACATTTGTTTGGTTTCCAGTAAGCATTTTATCAGTTCGAATCAATTAAATTAGTGCAGTTAAATGCTTTTAGGAAGCCGATAAATATTGGTTTGAATATCAATAACAGATATATTTTACATTAAAAATGTATTGGGGACACATTGCCTGATAAATGGGTTTTGCTGCCCTGTCACTAATAATAAAATACATGACCAATACGAGCACTCAGCTTGCATAGCATGTGACCGCTATATATATTCAAATGCAGATGGCCAAGTAAGTAGTGGCTAACTAACCTGACATCCAGGTGGTAGACATGGAACAGAAGACTGCAGTAGTGGTGGATGTGGAAATACCCAGCGACCATAATATCAGGAAGAATCACCATGAGAAGGTGGACAAATACCTAGGACTGAATGAGGAGTTTGAAATGATGTAGAAATGGAAGGCAGTAGTAGTCCAAGTTGTGATAGGAGCCCTCTGGGCCGTGAACCTAATTTGGTGGAGTGGCTTCCACAGATTCCAGATGGGACATCTGATATTACTGTCCAGGAGAGTGCAGTTACAGGAACAGTTAAGATACTGAGCAGAACACTCAGTCTCCTAGCCCTTTGGTAGAGGACCTCATAATGAGTCTACACCACTTATTTAATTAGTACAACTGACCCGCTGCTCATGGGTGGGGTCCAGAGGAGGAAATCACAGTGAGATGTCTACACCCCATAATTAAACTTTAAGCCAATACCTGATGCCCACAGGTGTGAGACTGTTGCCATGACCCCCACTAGATTTTTATTGACTCATTTCCCAGTCACTAGCTTTTCTTTGCAGTGTGCTGCTACTGGATTTTGTAGGCTGACTACTACTCGTGGCACTGCATGCAGGGACATGAGGGAGGTATTGTAGGAAATTATGACCCTCTTACAAGGATATTCTTTTAGGGAATGTGTGACAAATAAGACACAAACACACATGTATAATAAAATGTATTGCTAATATTGATTTAGGATACTGTTACAGATTTAAAAAGGGATTTGCACATTACACATTATAACCATATCCAGTACATAATCAAAATATACATAGTAAAAGACATACTTAGACATTTAAATGAAGATCTTCCACTTGCGCCTTCATCTTTGGTAGTCTGGGACAGTCTCTCTCAGTTCACCATGGCACCACTGCTTGCTGCGCTGTCCTCTCTAAAAGAGAGAAAGAGAGGAGAGAAGCCCGACCTTCTTGGTTGTTGTTCTTTTTAAAGACTGATTCTTACTGTCATTAACTACAAGTCCCAGAATTCTTTTACCCTCCCAAAAGTGGTTTATCCAACCCCCTTTTTCCAGAGAGTTTGGTCTTTTCACAAGTCTTTCCCTTTGATCTCTTCCCTCCAGCTATACTGTAACATTGTGTAAGATGTGACCAGTTAGGGTTGGTTTTTGGGTAGGTTGGGAGCAGGCCTGGACTTCTTTTAGAGACAGTATAGCTTGGGAAAACAGACACTTCAATGGTTACACCTAAATGTTCATTACTCTGATCTTCTGATAACATGCATGAAAAACTGGTTGGCAGGAGAACTGCTTGAGGGATGTAAGCTTTTGTTTTAGCTGGGTGTTGTAAAATGCAACTGAAAGCTTTGATCCTTATCACGCTGTTATCATGTAGAAGACCCCCAAGTTGTAAAACTAGTCACATACACTGAAGGTTCTATACATACAATATTGCAGTTTTGCATATCAATTTCTTACATTATTAAACCACACTTATACTAATATTTTTTAATGACTAACTTGGTTAGTCATAAAGACCATAAATGTGCTTTTGATGCACACTCGTTTTCTGTTTATTGGGTTTGGCTGCTTGAATTTCAGCCATAACAATCAGGCAAAAAAGGGAAATAATTGACTGACTGTTTTTGGCAGAAAGAATGAAATTAAGGCCAATGAATAGTATGCACTGTTCAATGAGGCACAACACGTAGAACTGTTAAGCAAGAATAAAATCAGAGTGTATTTGTGTCTATTATGAATATCATTTATCAAAAGTTATGTTATACTTTATGCTTATTTAGTAATGTTTACTTTCCTTTTAGCCATGAAACCATATGATCTCCTGTCAAAACAGACTACACAGAAGCTCGATGCTCTCGTTGTTTCAATAGAGTAAGAAACTAATGCAAAGGCATCAAAAATATATTGTGCATTTTTATTCTTTTTCATACATTTGAATCTATCAATAATACATTATTTATTTCATAGAACAATATATCTGATTTTGCTACAGCTTTAGAAACCCGTTTGTTCACTGGAACATGTTGGCCAAGAATTGGCAAATTGGTTATTAATTAACCATTGGTTATTTATTTGTAAAAACAAAAACAAAAAACAAAAAACATATATTAATGCTTTTACATTTTGTTTCTGAATTTAGTATTTTTTTTTCTTTTTTTTTTTTAACAATGTTACTCAAAGGGTTGCATTTATTATATTACCAGGAATTCCCTGGTAATGTTCCCAGATATGACGACAAAGTCTTTTGAAGTGATTTGCCACTTATCTAGATTCTGTCGTGCACCAAACCTCCAAGAATGAAGTAAGTGAGCTGCATCTGTTCTTTGCAGATTAAAGTATGCACAGAATTGACATTAGGCATCTTTAAACTCTTGTTCCAGGCTGTCTCATGAAAGCTGCAGGAGGTAGAAAGACACCTCCAGCAAAAAATTTAATAGGGATACTATAGTGCTAGGAATTCAAACCTTTATTCCTAGCACTATAGTTCCCTCTGCGCCCCCTCTCTTGTAATACTTACCAGATTCAAATGCTAATGTCACTCTGTGCTGGGTTGGCACTCTGCACCCTCCAAAGTAACCCGACTGCATCTGCAATAGGCACCACCAAAGGAAAACATTAACTCAATGCTTTCCTATGGGAATTAATCTGACACTAGATGTCCTTATGCAAAGTGTGAGTGCATCCAGCATCAGTAAGGCGACTTAAAGTCCTGTAAGATCTCAGAAGCGCCTCTAGAGGCAGACTTAGTGCTGCAATGCACCTACAGGATCATTGCACCATGACCCGCTAAAACACTAGTCATGCTGCTCAGAATAACTCTATAAAGTTGCAATTAGCAAACTTTTTATTAATGCATATCAATTTAGTATGAAAATATAAAAAAAAAATCATAAAGGATTATATAGAATTTTTATGATTTATATGTTTCCATGTATTACAATTCAACTTTATCACCATTTGTTAAATTGTTATAGTGCTCTAAGAAACAAACTGCAAATCTAGTTTAGAGTGTAACATGTTTAAATGGAAGAATGTTCATTATTAACCTTTATCTTTGTTATTCTTCCAATCTTCACTTTCAGATATCGTTTAGCCCCTAAAGTAAATTTCCCAACTCAATTTGATGATGTATATGCTGTAGTAAAATACTTCCTAGATGAAAGCACTCTTCAAAAATTTTCTGTGGATCCCAACCGTGTGGCCATATCAGGTGACAGTGCTGGAGGAAACTTGGCCGCTGCTGTAATTCAACAGGTATGCGTAATACAGTATTAAAGTATGTCTTATGTCTTATTTCTTCTTTGTTGGTTAGTCATAAAAAAAAACAAAAAAAACAAAACAATAAATACCTTCACTACAAGGCCTAATTTTTAGAACAAAAAAAATCAAACAAAAGTCATGGCAGTCCCACGCATTCCATAGTCCGCCATGCATTTCTGTCTCTTCTATCATTTTCTTCCCTCTTGTCTACAACCTTTCTTAGTCTTCTCTTATTTGAACACTCCCCCTCCTCCACTTCATATGTTAATGTTCTTTATACACTCTGACTGCATTCCTTTCATACTCTATCCTTCTCAAATAATTCCCACCATGGGAGTCTCAAATGTTTATCTGTCTCTCCATATATCATAAATTCTTCTCATTCCACTCAAGCTCTCCACGAAAAACGGTCCTATCTTCTCCTCTCTCGATGCCTGCCCCTTATTGTTCCCCTTTCTTTTGCAGTCCTAAAAAAAAAAAAAAGCTGCTGACATGACTTCAAACCCACAGCCAAACACAGCACAGTTGTTATATACATACAGTTAATAAAAGAACTAAGGGTACACATAAGAAGACGTGACTATGTGATGGGAACAGTTCACCTCATACTGATCTTTCATTGGCTGGACTGAATGTTATCAGGAAACATCTTGTGTATGAATAACACAATGTGCCCTGTAGCAGATCCCTCTGTATTTTATTAGCAGTCCAGTAGCTGTTGTTAATAAGGGTAATATTAAACCTTCGTTTTAATTGTTTGTTTAAAATTCTCTCTGATTTTTACAGCAATTACACGATCCTGAAATAAAAGTTAAACTAAAGATGCAAGCATTAATCTACCCAGTTATGCAGGATATCGACTTTAACACTCCATCATATCAAGAAAATGCCAACATGCCCATACTACCGAGGTCTCTGATGGTTCGTTTCTGGAGTGAATACATGACTACTGATAAAACTTTGTATGAAGCAATGATGGCAAACAGACATATACCACGTGACAAAGCAGATTTATTTAAGTTTGTTGACTGGAGTACCTTATTGCCTGAAAACCTGAGAAATAACTATGTTTACTCACCTCAATATGGAACCCCTGAATTGGTAAAAAAATATCCTGGAATTTTGGATACAAGAGCTTCTCCACTGCTGGTTGAAGATACAATGTTGCAAGGTTTACCATTAACCTATGTAATTACATGTATGTATGATGTCCTCAGAGATGATGGTATTATGTATGTCTCAAGACTTAGACAAGCCGGGGTGGAGGTCGTACATGATCACTATGATAGTACATTCCATGGCATACTTTTAATAAGCATCTGGCCATTAGAAATTAATTTAGCCCATAACATAACACTAAGATATCTAAACTTTCTCAATGACAATTTATGAAGACATTTCATTTATATAGATGGCCAGTGTTGTAAAATTAAATTGGTTGTACTTATGATATAATTTTCACGACCAGGAGTCCTCACCCAAACCCAGAATGTAACGTCTGTCAGAATTTTGCTGGAAAAAAGATAATGTATAAGGTGTGTTTTAAGCTAGTATACAAAGGACTCACTTGCATGGAGGTGGAGGCAGTTTGTTTTTTTTCTGTCATGGTTTATTTACTCTTCTGTTTGTTCTGCTTTTTTTTTTTTTTTTAAATACTTGAGTGTTATGGAAAATGCATTTTTTTATTATTATTATAATGTAGACCTAAAGGAAATGGAAAAATAAATGTGCTTTATGCTGCAAAACACACAAACTTTTTACACACGTAGTAAATGTTGTTTGTTTGTTTTTTTTTTTAAATTACATTTTCACGATTAAAGAATATAAGCCAGAGAAAGCATGTATGTAATATCAATACAGTTATAGTATATATTTTGTTTAATCGTGCATTGTAATATTTGCCTTATTGTTGATGCCTGCAAAAATTTGCAGGTTATTCTTTATTGTAAAGAGAATTGAGATATCGAGATCCTGCCAATGACTTTTTAAAAGAAAATTGTTAACTTCAAATAATTTCAATAAACTGGTGCCATGTGAGATATATACATGTTATCTACGGACGGTTGTAAATGTTTACTTTGTTTCATAGTTTTGTGTTTTCTTCATTTACCCCATACCAGCTGCAATTAAAAAATGTCATGTTTATAGATTTTGTTTATAAGCCAAACATTACTTTTGGTTTTGATGCTTAAAAAATATCCAATTATGCATATAATTCAATGAGTATAGATATGATATTTTATATATATAAATTTTACATATTTTTTTTTTTTAGCTATCCTCTTTAAACTGATGCTTCAACAAATTTCCATGCAAATACACCATTCTATCCCCCTGTATATCCACAGAGGATGTCTCCCAAGGTGTGCTGTAATGTATACAAAATATAAATATAATATATTTGTATACATTTTAGCACTTGGATGAGTGTTCACAAGCATATTTTTTTTCTCGTTTGTAACTTTAAAATAAAAACTTTAAATGATTTCAGGGAATTAGGTAGCAAACTTAAGAAAAGTTTCACATGCTACAGAGGAAAGGCTGCGGGAGATTAGAGGTTCATGAGTATCTGAAGTCTTGGGTTTTTAGAGCACTGGGGCTATTTTTGCGCTTGGGTACAACCTTTATAACCATGATGAATAGCACCTAAATGGGAGAGGGTCTGTCGTGCTGGGGGACAGTTTGGCTAGAAGGTTGGAGGAGCTTTTATACTAGTGGTAGGGGGGAGGGACATAGTAAGCAACAAAGTGGAGATCGGACAGAAAGGAGATGGGCTTTAGATAAGTACAAGGGGGTGGAGATGGAGGGAGGGGCAAGATCAGAACAGAGGAGGTATGTAATATTAATAAAAATTCACAAAAAGTACAAGTGACTCATGATATTAAATGTATCCTTACTATCGCAAGGAGCCTAAATAACAAAATGTGGGGAACTAGAGGTAATAGCCTACACTAAGAAATATGACATAGGCATAACTGAAACATGGTGAACAACAGCTGTTTGAGCAAATTGAGGAAGCTGCAAATCTAGGTAGCATGTTAATTATTGGAGATTTTAACTATCCGGGCATGAATTTGGAAAGAGGGACTAGTAGTTCAGCAAACTGAATTAGGTTTTTGAACTTGTTAAATGACACCTTCATGTCACAACTTGTACAAGCACCAACTAGAAAGGACGCTTGTCTGGACCTGGTTCTAACAAACAATGTTGATCTTTTGACCAACATTCAAGTAGGTGAGCACTTGGGAAATAGTGATCACAATATAGTGTCCTTTGAAATATACTCAAAAAAGCAAAAGCACAGGTGGTATACTAAAACATCATTTTAAAATGCCAATTTCAATAAGTTAAGGGCAGTTTTACAATATATTTACTGGCATATTGGCTCTTTAGGTACCTGTGGGTTTGCACTGAAACACATGTCAGCAGTCTGTTTTTCTTCACTTCTGCACTTCACATTTTTGTGGCACTTTGTGTTATTTTTATTTATTGCATTATGATTTGATTTGGCTTTTTCTTTCCTAATTATTCTCCTTTATCTATCTAGCTAGTTTTACAGAGAGAGAGGCTTATTCTTACTCTATCCTATGTAGTCTGTCTATTTAACAGCAACTTTCTGTATTAACTGTAATTGATTTGATTTATTAAGTACATGGCTATCAACCACGTACTTATTATTATTATTATTGTAAATAACTAATAAATATGGGCTCATGAGGGATATTGTGCGACTTTAAGTCTCAACTAACTACTCCATGCACACCATTTATGGGATGATATACAGGTTTAGAAGCAAGGCTACTGATCTTGGATCATTGTGAGACTGAACACTTGGTCATAGTGACCCTGATGATAAAGCCAATTTTGTTTAGTTTTCCACCCTTTTTTGCTACTTTCTCTGCCTTCTTATTTTAAGATTTAGGTTTAGGAGAAGCCTTACAAGGTTGGTGGTTTAATATTCTAATATTGTTACTCCTGACTTTTGATCTCCGGTTTGCTACAAAGAAAGAAGATTTAATCTAAGGCAAATGAAAGGTTTTTTTTTTTTGTTTTGTTTTTTGCCATAAGACCATAAGGATGTGGAATTCTCTGCCCCAAGAAGTGGTTTTATCAGAGTCTGAGCAGATGTTTAAACAGCTACTAGATGCATACTTGCAAAAACATAATATTCAAATATATCATTTTTAAATTGTAGGGTAATAGCTCTGTGGTGAAAGCCACTGGGGTTTGGAGGGGACTACTTGCCAGCCTTTTACCCTGTGACTAAGTTATTGTGGTTGAGAGACCCTTTTTGTGCCTATTGGGACTTTGAACAATGGTTCTTCTAACTTTAAAAGTGGTTGCAGTGCCACTTTGAACCACCGAACAGCCGGACCACATGACGTGTGCAGCCTATTTACCTCCCAGGCAGGTAGTTAATCGCAGCCAAATTGACGAATGGCTGGGTGGTCACCCTTCGTATAGTTAAACATGTGGCAGCGGCCATTTTGTTTAGTCGAACATGTTCAGCGGTGTTTTGTCGTCGAGTTCATGGAAATCGGACACACGATGGCATGAACACCACTGAACAGTTACCTTCCATGGAATTTTTGCTATTCGAACAGGAGTCAAACGGCGTTCGGTGAGTCGAAGCCCACGAACAAGAGACACACCCACTGACTATGTTCATCAACCATTATGCTCGGTAATTCAAACTGTATTTTGACTGTTTTAAATAGACAGGCCGCACAGCCGAATTCTCTTGAACTATTTTGGGTATGAAAACATGCGTGCGGTCGGTCTAAAAGAGACTTCCAGGAACTTCTTGAACCCCTGCTCTGATCTGGGTGATTTTGAGTTATGTTGGTCACCCAGATAAGGGCTATCAGGGGATGTGACATTTATGGGGATATGTTGTGTTTGGGGTACTTTCTCATACTTTATAAAAATTTGTGTTTTTCTTCCTGGAGATAATTGAGTTACATACAGGACTTGACTCAATTATCTCCTAGGCTGAGGGGAGGGATTGTGTGTAATATGTGGGAGTGTCAACTACTGTACTGCATTATCATTGGCTTGTAGCAATTGTCATCCTGTTCCCCACAAGGTCCAGGTGGGTGTTCGCTTGCATGGGGAATTGCATATAAGGCCAGCTGTGGCAACATTAAAAGGGAGTCCTGCTTAACCCTCAACACGCAGCTTGGTCTCGTGATTGGAGGGGAACTGCTATATTCACACTTGAGATTGCCATAGTCCTTATACTCCCCAGGAGAGGTCTTTCCCACTTAGTCCTGGATATCAGAGGTTGGTCCAGGGTGGGAGGAAGATGGCAAGATCCCAGCTAAGCTACGGCGGTTGTGGAGTCTGTGGTGCTTACGGTCCTCAGCGTCAGCTAAGCAGCATCTGTTGGCAGAGGTGCCCAGCCGGAGGCAAGGTGATCCGTCACAAGTTCCTTGATCCAAGGATAAATTTGACTGCCATTCTGGGGTCAAAAATGAATTTTATTCCTAGTTCGTTGCAAAACTGGAAGTGCTTCAAACAGTTTTTGTTTATTTTTGCCTTCTTTTGGATCAACAGCAAAAAACAAAAACAAAGGAAGGCTGAACTTGATGGACACCTTTCTCTTTTCAACCTATGTAACTAACTATATTTTATTAGCCTACACAAAAAACAGGCATTACAAGCATTCTCGCTAATCAAAAGTATTTAAAGTGTTACTCCAAGCACCATGACGACTTTGATTTTTAGTGATGATGGTGCTTGAAGTATGTATGTGCAGTATTTCACTAAGAAATAACCTGAAAAAGTGCTCCGTGCTGCTAATGTCAGAATGCCCCCCCTCCCCCACCAAAAAAGGTGCCAATTTAGGTGAAACAGTTCTGATTTTTGGGTCCTGTCCCTCTTTGGGGGACAGCAGGCATCTCCCTCTCATACTTCAATCATACAGTACAGAGTGCCCTATACTGTATAAACTGTGGAATCACACAGCCGATTTTGATTAAAAAAAATTGATATATATTGATTTAGAGTTGAGCGGACACCTGGATGTTCGGGTTCGGGCGAACTTTGGAGAAAAAAAGTCTGGGTTCGAACTTTTGGCCACAAAAATGGTTCTAAAAAACTGCTGGAATGGGCTAGAGGGCTGCAAAAGGAAGTAAAATGGGGGTAAGAATAGGACAAGTGCCCTGCAAACAAATGTGGATAGGAAAATCACTAAAAAATAACATTAAAAAAAGCAGCCGCTTAGTAGATAACTCCCTAATTCCCATGGTATTAGGGAGCTATCTACCAAAAGGCTGAAAGACCTAAATTGGTCTTTCAGCCACATTTACTAATAATACTAAGTAATTAGTAAATTCAGCCCAGTAAATTCGCTATACCGCGAGTAGGGGCGTGTCTAGTAAACAGTGATCAGCCAGAGGCTGCTCACTGTAAAAAAAAAACCTATTGCCCCCAACCCTGTGTGACAGGTGGGGGCCCTATATAAGAATGTGGAGGGGGGACCTACTGTGTCTCCCCCCCCCCAGCCACCACCCCTGCATGGTGGATGGGGGCCATAAATAAAAAAATGGGGGGGGGACTTACTGTCCTCCCCCAGCCCCCACCCCTGTGCAGTGGGTAGGGGCCCTAAATAACAATAAGGGGGGGACCTAAGGTCCTCCCCCTGGCCCCCATCCCTGGGCGGCGGATGGGGACCCTAAATAACAGTAAGGGGGGGACCTAATGTCCTTCCCCCTCAGGTGACTAGGGATCCCCAAACCCTTAGTCACCCCCCCCATCCCAAAAAAAAATTACCCCTACCGACCCCCCTCATCCTAAAATTAATGAGGGGGGACCATTGTCTAAATACCTATAAAAAAATAAACTTACCATTTGATGTATTCTTTCTTCTAAAATCTTCTTTTTTCAGCCCCAAAAAAGGCCAAATAAAAATCCAGAATAACCGACACACTTAAAAAAACGAGTGCAAAAAAAAAAAAGAATCCAACATCACCCATGGAGGGCTCTGCACAGACTGAGCTCTGCAGGGCAGGGTAAGGCTTATAAAGCCTTGCACCGCCCTGCAATTAGGCTCACAGCACTCTGATTGGTGGGTTTAAGCCATCCAATCAAAGTGCTCTGACAGGTAAATGAAGAGACTGACAGGTAAGTCTCTACATTTTCCTGTCACAGCACTCTGATTGGTTGGCTTGAAATCCACCAATCAGAGTGCTCTGTGTAATTTTACACAGCGTGGGAAAGTTCTTTGGAATTTTCCCACGCTGTGTAAAATGACACAGAGCACTCTGATTGGTTAGCTTGAAATCCAGCCAATCTTTTTAAAGTGTGTCAGTTATTCTGGATTTTTATTTGGCCTTTTTGGGGGCTAAAAAATGAGATTTTAGAAGAAAGAAGACATCAAATGGTAAGTTTATTTTTTTTTTTTTACAGGTTTTTAGACAAGGGTCCCCCCTCATTATTTTTAGGATGAGGGGGGTAGCTAGGGGTAATTTTTTATTTTGGGGGGGGTGACTAGGAGTTTGGGGACCCCTAGTCACCTGGTGGGAATTTTTATTTATGGCCCCCACCCAGCGCTCAGGGGTGGGGGCCAGGGGGAGGACATTAGGTCCCTCCTTATTGTTATTTATTGCCCCCACCCACCGCACAGGGATGGGGGCCGGGGGGAGGACAGTAGTTCCCCCCCTTATTGTTATTTAGGGACTCTACCCGCCGCACAAGGGTGGGGCCGAGGGGGGACAATAGGTCCCACCCCTTGATTGGTATTTAGGGTCCCCACCCGCCGCAATTGGCCCTCCCCTTTAGTTTCAAAGTGTGTCGGGAATTTTTATTTTTATTTTTTTAACAGTGAGCAGCTATAGGCTGCTCACTGTTTAATAGACACGTCCCTACTCGCGGTTTAGCGAGTAGGGGCATAATTTACTAATACTACGTGACCAGCTTTTATAGAGGCTGGGTCACTTGCTGTACTGGCCAATCACAGCCATGCCATTAGTAGGCATGGCTGTGATGGCTTCTAAGGGCACACAAGTCAAACGCTTGTTGATTGACTGCCCTGCGGCCTTTCAAAACGCGTCATTAAATTGCCGAACTCCGATCTCCAACTCAAACATACAGTGATATGTCCGTGTTCAGGTCCGGGGTCCAAAAAACCTAATGTTAGGTACGAACCCGAACTTTTCAGTTTGGGTTCGCTCAACTCTAAAATTGATATTTAATTTTTTTTTTTAAATGTACATCTAAAATATTAAATAATTTGAAACACATACAAATATAATAAATCAAGGCCATGATTGGCACATTCGCAGGAATTAACATGTATGTACCAAATCTTGCAAGACAGGGGGGAGTGTTTTCACTAACCGTCATAAGGATGGAGTTAAACATATCAAAAGAAAAATTGAATATTGGTTTTAACATTGGAGTGTTTCATATTTACTAAGAGGTAGAAAGTATTGCTTTTTAACTACTCGTCTATGAAGAAAACCGTATTTAGAGGCATTAGTAAGCACTAAAGGAAATTCATTTTTACTATTCCTATTTACAAATCTAAATATACCGTGTGTAAACAAATGCGTTTTGTTACTGTACCACACAAAATATGAGTTTGACAGTAATTCTAAAAATAAAACGTACTTATACTAGCTGTATTGTAAACCAAGAAGTGAAATAGCTATACTTCCTTGTATTGAATAAAACTATGGGTATGCTACAAGGGAGTTTTGTGTGTTATTTCAAAATTTTCCTTTACAGTTACACAGAGGCGGCTCTAGACTTTATGAGGCCTTAGGCGAACTTCAAGCATGAGGCCCCACTTACACCCAAAGTATAAAATAATAGGGTTGTATTTTGTATAAGTGTAAGGAGCATTTGCTATATCGAGAGGCGTGCTTGCAGCACTGGATACAGAGAGTCAGTCTCTGCATTCATTGTTCAGAAGCTTGCAATGTCAGAGCTTCCTGTGCCCCTGCATTGTGAGCTCTCTGGCTATAGTTGTAGCACATTTTGCAAACAAAATTAATTTGCAATAAATAAATTTAATTTGCAATTATGCCAATCGTTTATACACAATTGTGGGGTATGGTCACATAGCCCGGCAGTCGTGTATAAATAAGTACTGGTGTGAAGGGGTTCTCGAAAACAAAAATGAAAATTTAAGATTTAAGTGACGGTAAGTGTGGCATAGTTGGGGTGGGGTGAGTATTACAGTTTTGGAGTGAAGGGTGAATGTGGCATGGTTTGAGGAAGGAGTGTGCCAGGATTAAGGGGGTTAATGAGTGTGGCAAAGAGAGGGCAGGTGAGTTTGGAGGGGGTAAGATTAACAGGACTAGGAGTGGTTAGTGAGAGTGTGGATGCATGAAAGGGCTGAAAGTGTGGAGGGGGTGAGAGTGTGAGGACGGGTGACAATGTGTGGGAATGTGACAGTGTATGAGTATGGTGACACCACATTGTAGGGGTGACAGTGTGTATAAGGGAGAGTGACTGTGTGTGAAGGGGATGATACTGTGTGTGTGAGGTGGTGACAGTTTGTGTGTGTGGAAGGGGTGATCTGGTGAGGGAGGGGGTGATAGTGTGTGGGATATAGGGGCGATAGTGTGTGGGAGGGGGTAATACTGAGAGGGAGGTGATATACTGTGAGGGAGGTGGGTGATGGTGTGTAGGAGGGGGGAATACTGTGCAGGGGCAGATCCAGAGCCTGATCTCGGGAGGGGCACTTGTAGATAATTTAAAGAAATAATCCAGGCACAATAACCACTACAGCTCAGTGTAGTAGTTATGGTGCTAGTAGTGCCAGGATCCCATCTCAGAGTAAGTAGTCAAACCGTTTAAGAACAGTTTGACAACTTACCTGGGGTCTGCTGGGATATAGGGTATAGGAGCAGTGGTATGTGTTAGGGGTGAAGTGTGTGAAAGGTGCAGTGTGTGTGTGTGTGAGCGGTGAAATGTGTGTGCGAGTGCGTTAGGCGGCAGTTTATGTCAGGGTTCCAGTGTGTGTGTTAAGGGGCAGTGTATGTGTGGGGCAGTGTGTGGTGCAGTGTGTGTGTGAGAGTTGCAGAGTGTGTATGGGGGGAACTGTATGTGTGTTTGGAGGAGTGTGTATGGGGGGGCACTGTATGTGTGTGTGGGCAATGTGTGTATGTGTGGCAATGTGTGTATGGGGGGCAGTGTTTGTTGGGCAGTGTGTGTATGGGCAGTGTGTGTATGGGATGCAGGGCAGTGTGTTTAGTGTGTGTATGGGGCAGTGTTTGTGGGGCAGTGTGTGTAGTGTGTGTATGGTGGGCAGTGTGTGTATGGGGTAGTGTGTGTAGTGTGTGTATGGGGGCAGTGTTTGTGGGGCAGTGTGTGTAGTGTGTGTATGGGGGCAGTGTTTGTGGGGCAGTGTGTGTATGGGGGCAATGTGTAATGGTGGCAGTGTTTGTGGGGCAGGGTGTGTATGGGGGCAGTGTTTGTGGGGCAGTGTGTATGGGGGCAATGTTTGTGGGGCAGTGTGTGTAGTGTGTGGAGTGTGTGTGTATGGGGGCAGTGTTTGTGGGGCAGTGTGTGTAGTGTGTGTATGGGGGCAGTATTTGTATGGGGGGGAGGTTAGGGAGGCTT